TTGCAAAATTAAACTATTACAAACTGATGGTGGTGGAGAGTCTACTAGTCGCTTATTTCAGAATTTTCTTCGTGATCATGTAATTTCCCAAATAATAACTTTTGGAAAAAAACAAAAAACAAAAAAGTTTAAAGCAACATCCAAAACGCACAGCTTCATTAAAACCCAAAGGTAACCCAAATTCCTCGCGAAGCTCACGCCTCACATGACAGAGCGCATGCCTTCCTACGCCTCACCGTTGATGCATGGGCAAAGTGTGCAAATAGCTAACCAAGGGAACGCCTGAGGCGATTTGCTCCCGTCTCGCTCTGACGTGCGCTTCGAGGCGCACCTACGCATGCCTTTGAAAACACTGGTTATGTGGAGGATTTTTCCCTATCCTATCCTAGTTAAAAAGGACCCCTTACTATATGCTGGTTCTATCAAGTTAACCATTAACTCTACTTGCTCTTAAGAACGTGTATAAAAATTAAAGACCACATTTGAAAGGAATCTCAATTCCATAAAGAAAGCTTAGTTAGTTAAATTACCAGTCCCTACTCTGATTCTTCAGACAACAGAAAGGAATCTATTCAAGACCCTCAAGAATATCAATCAGGAATAAGATTTAGAAAAGCACCACAATTCCAACCAAAAAAGAAAAAAAAACTCGTATCATGTGCCTCTTGTAATCAAACATCGAATTAGTAATGAGTACATGAACTATTGGACTTGCAAGCCAGTTTTACAGAGACAAGTTCTCCCCATGGTTTGCTATCATTTGGTACCATAGCATCCACATGCAGGGCATGGGCTACAATTCCATTGTAAGAGCAACCTTAGGGAGGACTTTTATCTGTAGAAAGAAGGACGCCTCTTATAATTCCACATCCAAGAATGGGGTTAGAGTGCCGTGTGAAATATTCGGCTGCCTCCTTTTTAGTGGGATAAATCCTTCACCTGAGTTCATATGAACTTGATAAATTCTAGTGGGTCAAATTATCTCATTTCCTACCCTGAATCTTCAGACTACAGATACTTAGATATAAAGATCTCTACCACCAATAAAACAAATTGTTACCCCTGATTCTTCAGATAGAACCTTATAAAGATCTCCACCACACCACCAATAAAACAAAATGTTACCACGCAACAAAGGAAATCTTGTAACATCATATTTTCCAATCAACAAGACTATTTATCAAACCCCATCCAGTCTCAAAATAAATTGCAAAAGACAGAGCTAAAATACCATAAAGAAATTACTTGAATTATACGGAAATAATCTCCATGTAACATATGGTATACCTTAGGCTAATAGCAAAACAATATTCTTTATCAAAATTTGAGAACCCAATGGCTAAAACAAAACAACTTCCATCTGAAGAAAATACCACTAAGTTTTCAACTCAAATATTAACAAAAAGTCCAGAAAAACCATGAATTACCTTCAAAGTAACCTCTAATCCTCCGAAGACTTCATTGAATCCAATACAAATTTAGCCTGTTCCTGCATCAAAGCAAGCTTCTTGACAGACAACTCCATTTCAATGAGCTGCAAGGCCCTCCACTTACCCTCCAACTCTTTAGCCTTCGATTTCCCAATCAAAGGCATTTTCTGAATCATAAGGGTAGTTAAATCTGACCTCGGTGTGGAATTGTCCAACCCCAAAGAACCACTCAGGCATGGGTATTTAGACCAAAAGTCAACTGGGTCAGCCTTAATTCCACCATTAGCTACATTAAGCTCCTCTTTCTTCTCAGCTACATCTGAAACAGGTGCTACATCTGAAACAGGCAAGGCCAAGACTGTAGCTTTGTCAACCTTATTGCTCTTCCTTGGCTTCCTCTTGCTGTCCTTTGCATTATCATCGACCCCATTAGCCTCAACACCCCAAACCTTCTTCGATAGATCAAAGGACTTGACTTCGTGGGGCTTGGAAAACACCGGATCCTCGCCATTCTCTCCCTTCTTCTGGTACTTCATCTTCAACCTCCTGATCTTATCGCTCAACTGCAGCTTGCTTACATCGACCTGCAATTTTTTCTTGATAAACTCATGGAATGCGCCCATAGTCGAATTTGTTACGGGGCCATTTTTGACTTGGTACTCTATCATGCCCTTCAAGATCGCAATTTCATCATCTTCGCTCCAAAGCCGTCCCTTTTTCCCATCATCGTCATCGCCACTGTTCACGACCTTCTTCTTCTTAGAGTCCTTCGGGTTGGGCTCGGTCTCCGCCCGGCGCTTTGACCCGGAATTGGACGATGATGGAACATTCTTCTTGTTGGGCTCGGTCTCTGGGCGCTTTGACCCGGAATTGGATGCCGGCGCGGGCTTCGCCGGAGCATTCTTCTTGTTGGTCTTGACGGTGTCGTTCATGGGCTTCGAAACAATAGGCTTGACGGTGAAGTCGGAAGCTGATGGTGATTGGCTGTTGTTTTCGGACTCTGTTTCCGACCCGGATCCGGAATCGTCTTCGGAGGCAGATGGCCATTGGGGATTTGAATTCGAAACCGCCGATGAAGAAGTTAATAGGGCCTTCTTAGAAGAGGGCTTCTCTTTCTTTTCCTCATTGTCCTCTTCGTCTTCGTCTTCGTCCTCCTCGTCAGCGTCTTCTTCTCCTTCTTCTTCATCACCGTCATGGTTATCATCTCCCGATTTTGCTTTGCCGTCTTCAGCTTCAACGGCGTCGTCTTCTTCCTCTGCTTCTTCGTCGACAGTTTCCTCGTCGACAGTTTCCTCATCGGAGTCTTCCACCACAGGTGGGTCATCTAGAAGCTTCTTCGGAGCCATCGGAGATAGAGAAGGTCTTGAATTGAAGCTTTTGATTTGTAAGCTATCGAGGAGTTCAGTATGTAACTACAACTACAGTAGAGGGTTTATATAGAGTTCGTAGTAGGGTTTTGACCAGGGACTTTGTGACGTGTCGCGTTATTATTGGGCCAAGGACTGTGGGACCAGATCCCTTGGGCTACTTTCCCGTTTCTTTCCCACGTTGATTAACGGTGGTGTCCTCGCGTTTTTTTTTTTTTTTAAATTTATATATACGTAATGTCGTTTAATATATATATTTTTTAATTCCTGTTTTTGAGGAATTGATTGATTTATTTTAAAAGATGGGAGCATAATTTTGTTAAAATAAAATAAAAAGAATAAATGAAGAATGATAAAACAATGTTTTTTGGTATATAAGACAAGAACAAGTCCCTAAAGACCAAAAAAAGGAAACATATAGCAAACAATTAAAAAAACAAATCATTTTGATATAATTTTAATTGTTGTCTGATATCGATTTAATCTCAAATTATTTGGGTGTGTGACCGTTACATTGTAATGAATACATGTGTTATGAATATGGGTGGACAAAACCAGCAATGGTTTTACTGTTGTTTTTTATTTCACACGTCTTTTATGTACATTTTGAAAATCCCATTTGCCTTTGATCGATGGAGCCAGTGCTAGACACACAAAAATTTCGAAAGGGAATTCTGTTGCCGGATAGAACTGACATTTTTTGGTCATCATGCCACCTGAAAAATGTGCAGGCGACAATGAAAATAGTGAGGGAAAGGTACATTGGTGGAAAGCCAAACAAATAGCATTATGCCAGACATTGCCATTGAGCTTGGAGTTTGAACATAATAAAAGATTTACTATAGCTACTTCCACAAACATTGTCTTATAAATCCCAATATGATTTGAAGGCCAATTTCATTCTGCACACATGTTTTCAGCACTATCGCCTTACTTGACTCAAGGGTAACCTTTGATTTCCTTGAAAACACAACCAAAGAATAAGTAATAGGTGATTGAAATTCTTCCATTCGTTTCGGATTACCAAACCAGAGAGGAAAACAATACGCTTCCAAGCCAGAGCTCCCGTATACCTATTCTAAATGAAAAGCTAGGCCTCATCATCTGAACTGAAACCATCCTCCACTCGCCGTTCTGCAATTGCTGGAAACAGTCGCTGACGCATATCTGTAGCCGGCTGGCGGTTTTCTGAAGCTGCCTCTATGGGGGTCTCTTTCTTGGCAGTCTTTGCTGACTTCATTGCTGAATTTCGAACCTCCGTGCATACCTTGTTTAGAATTACCAAGAAATCTCGTACAATCACAAACAAACGAATGCCTTCCTCCTTCCCTGCATTCCCGTGGAAGTAATCCGCTGTGCTCTTCACAAGAGCAGTTATCCTCTTTTCTTCTTCCAACAGCCATGTTATGTCAGATTCTGCACGCTCCACAAAACTGGCTAGCGTACGTTGGAACTCACTGTCTTCGTCCAGATTCTTCATCTCAACATTTATAAAATTTCGCGTTTTTATTAGTGAATGGCCAAGAACTCCTACTGTTGACGTTAGGCCATCAGCATCTACAAGAGCTGCCTTCCTCACATCTTGAAGTTCATCGCTTAAACCGGAGACAACTTGAAGACCGAGGCTACAATAATGCTCTTCTGATTCCTCATTGACATCCTCAGCTAAATCCTCTGCACTCAAATTGGACATGCTCCGGCTTGCTCTGGCTGTGCGGACAGCTCTTCGGCCCTCAGAACGGATGATCTCTTGAACAACAAAGTGCAAGAGTGTGGTCTTGCCATCAGTGCCTTTTACATCAGCCAGTTTTAAGAGTGTATCAAGCCTAAATGCCTGCGCACCACCACGGTAGGTACCATCATTCATGCGGTTTCCAGTTTTCAGAACTGCTTCTAAAAGTTTTAGGAACAGCCTGCTCTTTCTGAGTTTGTTGCAAGCAACCTGACATTTAAGATGAGGAATGGTCAGATAATACAGAAATATTGAAGGTTGCTGTCTTGTTAAACATTAAAGAACATGACTGACAAATATCTAAAGAAAGCTTGCATCATATGATTGGATATGAATATGCATTCACGGGTCTAGTGTCTCACCTCTAAAGTTACAAAGGATTCTTTGGTGGTAGTGACCTCTTCTGGGAGGGAACACATGAACACCAGTGACTCTATGCGCTTAAAAGCAAATGGTATGTCAACCATGGCTTTGAGGAACCTCTCTGCAGGGCCAAGTTGAGCAATATCGCCGGTGTATAACCTAAGCTTCAGTTCTTCTTCAGCAGTCGGCGCCATCTTCAACAAGGTCTGGAGAAGCTCCAAAGGAAGTTCATTACCTGATCCAATCAATAAAGGTAAGTCAGTGATGCCTTTTAAACCTGACAATCTCAATGGTTAAAAAGTTAAGAACTATATAAGTGATAAGAAATAACACATTGGCAAGCCCATCATCCAGGACAAATGATTAAAACAGGGTATTTCTTGTTTTTACTTGATTAAAACATCGTATTTCGAGTTTTTATTCTGTGTAACATGATAGTCAAGTTTTGTACATGGTGTTGATTTATTCATCCTCTTTTTCTAAACATATTTTAGTACTTAAACCAAAATGAAGAAAAACGTAACATGGAACTTCAGATTGGCAAACAATCATGTAAAGTTTTTCACCACGAGAAATGTCTTTTAGTAGAGAGAGAGAGAGAGAGAGAGAGA